CAAATCATCCAGACCCTTTCCCCGGAGGTTCCAAGTCATCGCATGCATCTGACGTGGTTTTGCCTTTGTCGGGAGTCAAGCTCCCCGCCCCAGTGGGGTGGCATCCGGTCCATACTCCAACCACATCTGTTGTAGGGACTCTTTGGGTCGCTGTGTGATGTGTGCGTACGCTTCCGAAGACACAAACCACACGGCCTGATTGCCTTTAGAGTCCTCAATGACTTGATCTGTAGGCGCTGGGTCGTGCCCATCGTCCATGCTGCGCAACATCCTGGTCTGCCCAACAAAGACTTGACCCCTCCAGACGATCTCTGGCTCTGGCCAACGCGCTCCCAAATCACCTGTTGGTAGAGTGCTGAAAAAGTTCTTGGTGAGTACTATGGCCCGAATTCTGATCCTCTCTTCAAGCGACCTGTCTTTCTGCACCCACAAATTACATTGAGCCTGCCCCTCGATTCCACTTTTGCTCTTAAGTGCTTTAAGTTTATCAAGGACTTTGGTTTGTAATTGTCTACGCCGGGGAAGGTCAGGGGTGTTATTGAAATCAAGCGTGACTCGAAGAAAGTTCGTGCGTGCCGAAGGGCCTGACATGTCCTTGAGTAGTTCTCCCAGTCCTGCTGCTTGGAACAAGTTCTTGACTTCTTCCTCAGCTTCGGAAACCCTGGCATCTGTCCAGCCGCCGATTACCAAGCCTAAGTCCTGGTCAGGAGCTCGGAGTGGGTCGGAAAAGTTGTTGTTAGGGTTGCTTCTGGGACTTCTGGGGCTAACATTTCCTCCATGTCTGCTGCCACGTGGGGTATCAGGTGCCCTAGGAGGGGTCATGGACCTGGACTTGCGGTCGAGTTCGACAACTGCTTTTTCAAGAGCGGTAATGCGATCGAGTGTGGCTTCATGATTATCAGTGTGCTCCTTTGCGATGGCCTCGAGTGTCGCAATTCGTGTGTCATGCTGTGCCACGCTAGTGCCTAGCTGCACACAATAGTCATGAGTACGATCGCTTTCAAGGTGAAGCCCTTGAATGGAATCCGTTAAACCCTTCAACCACTCAGGAGCAGAGTCAGCTGACCTAGCCAACGACGGGAAAACTCCAGCCGCGGGGTGTTCGGGTAAGGAAGGTGGGGGACTCATCCGCGGTTCGGCACCTTGGAGTTCATCGTCATCATTGCTTGTCAGGTCGAAAACTTCATGTGTCTGGCCTACCCCGGGGGCAAAATCCATGGGCGAGTCCTGTTGTGTTTCCGATTCTTTGATTTCAAGCTTAATCTTCTTGGGTTCAGGAGCCTTTTTGTCCGCATCTGCATCCGAGGACTCTTGTCTGTTAGCGATCTGGCCTTGTTCGAGGATAGAATGATGGCTGCTAGTTACGGGCGGGAGCTGAGTCCTCTCATGGTTCTCACGAGGGTCTGACTTGGATCCAGTAACGGGAGGACGTGCCAGCGCTCTCTCGGGCTTGGGTGTTCTCTCTCTGGTGCGGCCTCTCTCAGCACCGTCGCGCGGCATGACGGCAGAGACAGCAGCAGGAAGCAAGTGCAAGGGTACAGTCAGCGCAAGGCAAGGCAGGCAGTGCAAAAGAAAGGAAGGACAGTACAAGGGAAGGACAGTGCAGTGCGCAAAGAGAGGGTCGGAATCCAAGCGCAGAAGAGAGAACGTGAGCCCGGTCGCACACTAGGGGAGGGTCTTGTTTTGTTTCTCCGAGAACTGAGAGTCTTGAGCCGTAGCTTGAGCCGTAGCCATTTTGAAAATGTGATATTCTCAGCCATCATAAGCTGTATAAACATCATCACCATAGATAAACAAGACATGTGTGTCTCGATCTACTGTTTTCAGTAATCTATGTCAGCATTAAATTCTCGCAACACATATGGTCCATTTACGTACATGTCGCTTTAGAACTGAAAATACAATACTTTCGTTCGTACATAGTACTACTCAAAACTACAGATTATTCTTTCTAGCCAGTCTTTTGTTGAGATACAAAATGTGCAAGAAGTATTCAATTCTTATTATAAGAAAAACTTTGCATTTCGAGTTCTAGGTCTTACAAGGAGATTCAATCTAAGTGGCATACCTATTGACATACACTAGATCTATTACCTTATATCGGCTTATTCTACATTTGCATAGCCAGGGCTTAACAAATGAGGATAGGACTGAATATTGCTAGTGGGCAAATATTATCAAAAAGTAGATAGCCACATTAGTGAAATAGCTCATGAAACTCAAAATGTTCAGTAGCTGTGAATATCTCTCCTGAAGTTCCCAATATCTGTGAACAAAATTTCAACATTCCAGGTTTGATGAAATAAATACCTCCTTGCCTGGCCTGCATTTCCAATAATTATTAAGTGTTTTTGTTTTGTCCGCCGAGATGGTTAATGAACTGCGATATCACCGCCACCAATGAACTTGTACCACTCCATAGTCCTCAGATCGATCAGATCCGAAAATCTTCTTTCAGCTCCAAAGAAGGCCCCCGCTGCATCTTCTTCTCCTGGTCGCTGTCCTCCGGCCCCGCCAGCTTCCTTTCGGGTCCCATCCATGCAAGTCTGACCTTTGCTGTGCGCAAATGATCCGAGTAGGCCGCCGCCCCTGTGAATGAAGATGTTGACAGAAGGCCTATCCAATCACATGTCAGGACGATAACAGAGGGTTCATTTCGGAAGCGCGCCAGCAACCGAAGGGCCATGTCTGCAGCTCGCCGTACCACTTCGCACGTGACTCACTGCTTGGGATGTGCCTGCCACTGCCTGTCTCGCATCTCGGCCTTCAAACAGTGTTTCGGCAGAAGCCACGGGCCGATACTACACTCATCAGCTGCGGGATCTGAGGCTGTCACCATCTTCTCTTGCTGCTGCTTCAGGTTCTCCAGCTTCGGAAGCTTAAACGGCCTGCCGTGGAGGCTTGAGTGGCTAGCTTGCTGCGACCCTAGCCGTGGGATCTTGCAAAACGCAAACAAGCTGTAAAAAATACTTGCCAGGCCCACATGGTAGTGATGCCACGCCTCTTAAGCAGCCGAGACAAATACAAAGCAAACTACAGTGCTTTTCTTCGTTCTCCCGTTATCGGCTACCACCGGCCGAAACTGTGGCCATGACCGCTTGAGTACTTCCTTGACTGTCTGAGGAACGAAGCTCGTCTTTTTGGAATTAGGCCTCTTGCGGGCCAAGAACACAACGCACACTAGAGTTATGCAAGCACGCGCGGCGTTGCAATGGCCAACAAGGCTCGGGCGCAAGAACTCCGACCAAGGCATGCCCCTTGCAGTCCAAATTATGATGGGTGGTAGCCCAGCAGCTTGTGACCAGTCATGGGAAGCTGAGGTCATCACTGCTACTATTCCGTGGCTCCCGCGGTCTAGTGGCCTTGCTTCGGCAACGGTGCTTCTACATGCAACTTCCGTTCTTCAAAAGCGCAGCTTTTCAGGGTTCAGCAATCACAAGTTTGCGAGATCCTCTGGGCCCACCCACACCACGAATCTGTTCCAATGCCATGCTGCCTGTTTTCATGCGAAAGAGCTGCGCAATCTCAGCATCATCGCCGCTTTCCGGACATCAGCGTCAAGGTGCCGGCCAACTTGCGAAATCCGAGACCCACAGCCAAGATGCCCATGGAGAGGCGGGCCTTGTCAGCCGTGTTTCAGAAAAATCGGGTGCAATTATGCAAAATGAATCCTCGGCCTGCTCATCGACACGAAGAGCCTCATGTTTGCCGTGCACCGTTGCGAACGGTTGTCAAGCGTGGTCGAGTATGCCCATGTTCGTCTGTGCGTCAATATCGGCCGAATCTCACTGAGGTATGGGCGATGGGCAAACTGCCCGGTTCCTGAACTTCGCCGCCAAGTGTCACTACCTCAGTAAGACACAGGGACAATCACACTCCAAAATCTGGCTGACACAGTTCGTTTTGGAAGAAGCTGCTGGAACTAGGACCGACACTGAGGTAGTGCCTTCAGCACTCAACAACGACAGTGCCTGCACAGCACAGCCATGTCGGCCGGTCAGGAATGGCAACTATTCGTCACCCAAGATCAGTCGTGTTTATTTCGCTGAAAAGGGGGTCAAACTGGAGTCCAAGCATTGTTGGACCGCCTGCAATCGCGTGGCAAAGTCGTCCTCACTGAAGCCATAGAGCGGGACATCTGCCCACATTGCGATGTCTCAGTGTGTCACCATGAAAAGCATTTGCACGGCTTGCAGAATGCATTTGCAGCCCTCAGCTTGCTGCGAGCGCGCACGAGACCTGGCAGGTGTTGGCCTGCAGTCAAGCCGCTGTACATTACATCTTTCGGCTCCCGCTTGGATATCACATTTTACGTTTCACACACGGCATGTGGCAATCTCTGGCCCGGACAGTGAGATTTGAACTCCTTGTAGGTGCCTTAGTAGGACAGCGGCGGCTCTGTAAGGGGCAGCCCGGAGTCGCCAAATGAGGCGGCGTGTTGAAGATACATGGTGAACATGAACAGCCGGAAGCATATTCACGTGTGAATATACGAAGATGCTGTAACTGACAACATTGTCACATCGGTTCAAGCTACTGAAAAATCGCAAGTGCTGGAATTTACAGTAAGCAGCTTCTGAATAGCCCTCGTGCTGCGAGCATCCTTTGTAAACGATAGGATGCGCAGATCAGATTTGCACCATGTGCCGTAAATAACAGGATGGGAGGAGTTAGGCAAAGTGTGAAGAAAACTGTGAACAACATGAGTTTAACGGAGCCTTTCCACCTGGCCATACTTGCAGATGTTCTGGGACAGGAAACATATATATATATATATACATATATATAGAAAACGTCGCACTGCAGCCAGCAAGCGTCTCTCTCTCTCTCTCTCTATATATATATATATAGAAGCTATATTATAAAGAGGCCCCCTCATTTGGCGACTGCGGGTTATCATATATCTTAAACATGCGGCCTTATTTGGCGATTCCGGGTCTCAGCATAAACACGTCCACTCATTTAGCGACGCCGGTTCATCCTATATCTCGTACACGCCTGCTCATTTGGCAATTCCGGGTCATTTCTTATCTTAAGCATGCCTCCTCACTGAATTTCTTAAGCACGCACGCCCCCCCCATGTAGCGATTCCGGTACATCTCATCATACATCTTCAACGCGCCCCCTCATTTGGCGATTCAGTTCGTCACACATCTGAAACACGCCGTGTCATGTGGCGATTCGCGCCCGGACCCTGAAGTGGAGGTTGGCTTAAAGCGGATTGGGCGGCCCCCCCACTTGCAAACACCTCTGTATCACGGATTCTGAAAGGGTCCATATTGGCTCTCTGTGGTAGTAGTAGTAGTAGTAGTAGCAGTAGTAGTAGTAGTAGTAGTAGTAGTAATAGTATAGTAGTAGTAGTAGTAGTAGTAGTAGTAGTAGTAGCAATAGTAACACGAGTAGTACGTAGTTCTAGTAAAGCGGAGCAGGACGAGACCTGAAGGATGAGGGTTGGAAAAGAAAAGTGAAGCCGACAAGCAAAGAAGCGGAGGAGCATAAGAGCGAAGCAGAGAAGCAGAAAGCGGGTAAGCAGAAGCGATAACAAGCAGAACAAGGGAAACAAGCACAGGTGGAAGGCAGAAGGAACAGCGGAAAAAACAGATAAGCGGAAGAACAGAAAAGCGAAGCAGACATGCAGAGAAGCGGAAAAGCAGACATGCAGAAAATAAAAAGCACAAACAGGCAAACAACTACAAGCAATCAAAAGCAGCAGATAGAACCGGAAAACAGGAGCAACGCATAGAACACCACAAAAACACAAAACATCACACAATAAAATACAAAAACTTCCCAACTCTAAGAACTTATAGTCGTCCAGCCGACTCTAGTGCTGGAAACTCATGCGCGAACTGCCTCTTTGACTCAACAACGGGCTTTGGGGAAGCTCACCAGTAGCGGTAGCCATGATAGTATGAGAGTGTCTCCATCTGTAGGTGCCAGGCCCATGAACCGAGCAGCTCGTGCCACACGGTCTCCAATCCGGCCTTCTTCCGTGGGCCTGTCCATGCACGTCGTTGAGCCGAACTTGAAGGTTCGGCTGGCTTGGTGGCTTGGCTTCCCTCTGGAGATCACATGTCACTCGAGTGCGTCGACATAGACCATGCGCAGCAAGCATGGTGCTTGTCTTCAGCCCATCTGAGGATTCGCTGAAAGAACCAAGGGCAAGCATTGCCTCAGCAGGGTGCCATAGGGCCTCGTCAGCGCAAGGCTCTGGTCACGGTTGCAGTCGTACCAGAACATGACTCTGTGGAGATCAGCTGAGGCTGCTGCTGAGGAGGCTGCCCGTCCTTGTCAGGGCGGAATGCGCCGATGTCAATGTAGACCTGGCCATGTTTCAATTGTGGGAGGCGACCCCGCAGTATCTAAATGATGTGTTTCCATGAAGCCCTAGGCAACTGAGGTAGCCGACGACCATGACATTGCGCACTTCAGGACCTCAGGATGGATCCAATGCTTCGCTCTGATAAAGACTGACGGATGTAACGACAGCAATGAGTGCAGACACTGACATCCTCTCCCCATCTTTTAGGGCTCTCACACCTCTTTAGGACCACGCTCCAATCCTTGTGTGGCGTGGACTGAGTGCAGCGATTTAAGTTTTTGGCCAAGTATTCGGGAAGCACGACACACAGACATGCACACGCAGGTTGCAATTGCTGTCGCGATTCGTGGGCAGAAACTTTTACACAGTGAGGCACTCTGGCAGCAACTGCTCGACTCAGATCGGCCTATGCTACGAGAGAGTGCGCCGTGTCACGCCGAAAGAGCTCTGTGGCACACAGTGGCATGACTTCAAGGCAAAGGATGGGTTGCCTCCCACCAGCTCCGACAAGCTCGAGCCACAGCATGTGTTGCCGCACCACACGACCAAGGAGACTCACGAAGAATATCGTATGCTTAGCAACTGCCTGCTTGATTGGCGCAGCTGACGAGGGGCACCTGAATTAGACTTCAAACCTCTACAGTCGACTCTACAGCTATACAGTCGAAATACATAGCCACAAAGCCGCGCTGATCCGTGTCTTGTCTGCATGCGACCAGTGCGGCTCTGCTCGGCCTAAGCTAAGCTAACAGGCCTGAATT